TTTTACAATATTTGTACTGTTTTCTCCCTTACCTTACCCTGCTGGCTTGGACCTTAATTAGGATATTGAACAAGAGGGTGAGAATAGACACCATTGTTTTGTTTTGTTTCAGTCTTAAGGGAAAGCTTCATACTGTAATTTAAATAAAAATTTAGAACTCCTCAGTGGCTCAGTCAGTTAAGTATCTGCCTTCGGCTGAGGTCATGAGCCCAGGGTCCTGGTATCGAGCCCCACATCGGGCTCCCTGCATAGTGGGGAGTCTGTTTCTCCCTCTATCCTTCCCACTGCTCGTGATCTCTCTCTCACTCTCTCCATTTATCTCAAATAAATAAATGAAATCACAAATAAATAAATATAAGTTTAATTGTAGGTTTTATATGAATGTTTATATCAGTTTAAGGAAATTCCTTTATATTCCCAGTTTTCTAAGAGATTTTAGCATGAAGACTTTAATTTGGTCAGTTTGAAGTTTGTTGTTGTTTTTTGGTTTGGGTTTTTTTTTTGCATTTATTGAGATATTTATATTGTTTGAATTCTTTAGTTCGATGATATGGTAAACAGCAGTGACTGATTTTCAAATGTTGAACAGGCTGGGTATTCTTAGATTTTTTTTATTATTATTCATTTGAGACACAGAGATACAGAGAGACAGAGAGCATGAGCAGGGGGAGAGGCAGAGTGAGAGGGAGACACAGGCTCCCCGCTGAGCCAGGAGCCCAATGCGGGGCTTGATCTCAGGACCCTGGAATCATGACCTGAGCCAAAGGCAGATGCTTAACCATCTGAGCCACCCAGGTGTCCCTAGGCTGTGTGTTCTTAAGGTAATAAAGCAACATGTATGTGTTGTATTATCCTTATTAGATATTTCTGGCTTTGATTTGTCAATATTTTGTTGAAGATTTTTGCATCTATGTTCATGAGAGATATAGGTTTGTAGTATTTTTTTTTTGCAATGTCTTTGTCTGGTTTACATATTAGGATGATATTCTCATAAATCATTTAGGAAATGTTCCCTCCTCTTCTCATTTTTTGTGTGAGAGTTTGTGTAGCATTGATAATATTTTTTTCATTAAATTGTAGAATTTTCCAGTGAAGCCACCTGGCCCTAGAGTTCTCATGCTGGATGTTTATAAATTGTGAATTCCATTTTTTAAAAGATCTGTGACTGATATTCATCTATTTCTTTTTTAATTAGCATGATAATTTATTTATCAAAGATACTCAGTTTATTTAATCTAAGCTGGCCCATTCTTAGGCATAAAGTTTCCTGTAATACTTCTTTGCTAGCATCTCAGTGCCTGTAGGGTCTATGATGGCTTTTCTTCATTCCTGGTCTTGGGAGTTTGTGGCTCTTCTCTCATTTCCCTGATCAATCTACCTAGAGAGTTCTCCAAGAAGCAGGCTTTTGCTTCATTGATTGTCTCTATTGCTTTTCTTTTTGCAATTCAACTGAGTTCTCATCTTCATTATTTCTTTGCTTTAGCTGGTTTGGGGTTTAATTTGCACTACTTTGTCTGGTTTCTTAGGGTGGAATAGGCCCGTGGCCAAACTAGAAAAGAGTGAATATTGTCACATGTTTCGAGGTGGCCGACAAAAGATTCTCCTGCCATCCATTTAACCAAGGCTGAGGATTTAATGAGCTCAAGCTTTTAGAAGAATGCTTTACTCAAAGATAGGACTGCATTACCATTTCTCTTATACTTATTTTTAGTTTGTCGGTAGAATTTGGGGATTCCCTTCTTTTTATGGTTGAAATAATACAAATCCTTTTACATTCTTGCTTTTTTTTTTTTTCCCAGCTCTCTGATTCCACAATATGTATCTCATGAATTAACAACTTACTTGATGTCTTTCCTGCCCATTGTAGAATAGATTGTCTGGTCTATATTACTAACTCAACATAAAATTCTGAGTCATTTCTTGTTATCCTTGAAATTATAACATAAACTTCTCCTGCTAACAGCAAAGTATCATATCCACATACATTGGAATTTTAAAACCCTCCTTCATTCTGGGTATTTGATAAGGACTTTTCATCTGCAAGTTAGTTCTGTCTTCTAATGGAGAAACTAGAGTGTGTAACTTTATATTTTTAACTTTATTTGAATGTCGTTCATAAAGAAACCAATCTGTCATTTGTGGATCTGCATCTCTACCTTCCAACTGCAAACCTCTCATTCATCATGGTTTCCCACACTTTACTACCCAACGTATATGTCAGCATTTCAATATTCTGCAATGTGGATTCTACTCTTCCCTACACCTACTAAGTCATTTTAATTCCATCAGCAAATTTAAATCTCTTTTTAGACTCTTACATGTTCTCTGTGATTCTTGCCTTCTCTTGGCTAGGTCGCTTTACTCTTTTTTGTTGTTTCATTTTTTTAATTTTATTTTCTTATGTTCAACACATCATTAGTTGTTTTTTTTTATGTATACAATACATCATTAGTTTTTGATGTAATGTTCCACTATGGGGGGATGATTTGAGGGAGATTTGTGAATTTAGTTTAGTCTTTTGTTTTCTTTTAACTAAAGCCATACTGATCATATTTCTCCACGGTTTACGTTTTTTTCCCGAACAAAGTCTCAAAGGCCACTAATATGGATGCAATTCTGATTTAAGAACTCCGTAGTCCCTCCACAAAATTATCCTGTGGCAGGTGAGCCCAGAGCTAATCACTGACACTAATCACTTTCTTTATTTTCCTCCATATTCATATATGCACAAATGCAATACACTCATTGATATGAAGACATTTTTGTGCCATTGTCCATTTCATAAAAACAAGGTTGTATTCTATTTATTTTTCACATTTTATGTTTTACTTTTCATTATACTTTCATTGCCTAGTGTACTGCTAGGACACATTACATCTTTACTCTATGATTGTGCACTTATGGAGGCACAAAGACAGAGAGCACTATTACCAAAGGCATTATTCGAGCAAGTTTATCTGGTAAGAGAAGCACAACTCTGATATTTGCATTGGTAGAGATTTCTTTTTTTTTTTTAAAGATTTTATTTATTTATTTGAGAGAGAGAGAATGAGAGAGAGCATGAGAGGGGAGAGGGTCAGAGGGAGAAGCAGACTCCCCACTGAGCGGGGAGCCCAATGTGGGACTCGATCCTGGGACTCCAGGATCATGACCTGAGCTGAAGGCAGTCGCTTAACCAACTGAGCCACCCAGGCGCCCTGGTAGAGATTTCTGAAACAGCAAAGATAACCCCACAACAAGAACAACCATAGAAATATGGTTCATAGAATTTGTGCCACTGGGGTCAAAGAGACTGTGTAACCCCCAAGATAAATTCTGTATGACATGGTTGACCAGACTGAGGAACAAGTGCGAGCCACATGGGTAAGTCCCTCTGGAACAAGCTTATGGTTCCAGTTTGGGAAGGAGACCATCAGCTCATTCCCTGAGCAAACAGCAGTGAGGCAGAACGAGAATGATGAACCAGAATGAGAACCACAAATTATCTCAGCCTCACAGACAACCGACTACTCAGGGATCATCATGTCCATGTATTGGCATGGTCGTTGTCATCATGATTATGCCTCTTACTTGATGCTAGACCATGCCCAAGGCATCAAGGAAAATGTAATAATGTTGATGTGTCTGTTCACATTACCATGCTTCTCCTTTGCGATAGAATGCCAGGGAATTGGTGTTCCGGGATGGCCATGTTTTGCCAACAACCTCCATAGCTGTTGAACGGCTTACATAGTTTTGTGAGCAATAGAATCAGGTTGAAGTGATGAATATGCTACCGAAACCTAAATTATCTCCAGTCCCAAATCATTTTATGAAGCCTCTTTGAATCTCTTCCTGCCACAGCTAAACAAAACAAACCACGCACAGAGAATCATTTGTGTAGACACATGTTCTGGGGGGAAATGCCTTGTTTTGTGTCTGAGAGTAAAGAAAGGAGATGGAGATACCAAACTGGCCCGCCCAACCCCACCCCTTTCACTTCCTATCTTTCTACTCAACTAAATTCTTCTTAGTTGCATTTTTGCAAGAGATCATGTTAAGTTTTGGTTTTCCATTCTTTCTTCCCATATCAGAACATATGGTCCATGAGGCTATTCAAAGCAAGCATTTTCTTTTTCATCATTATATCTTCAGTATCTAGAACCTCTTAGACACTTAGCAAATGTTTCTTTTTCTTTTTGGATTCAGCACTATATATTTTTTTTTTTTGGATTTTTTAATTTTATTATGTTATGTTAGTCACCATACAATACATCATTAGTTTTTGATGTAGTGATCCACGATGCATTGTTTTCGTATAACACCCAGTGCTCCATGCAGTACGTGCCCTCCTTAATACCCATCACCGGGCTAACCAATCCCCCCTCCCTCCTCCCCTCTAACACCTTGTTTGTTTCTCAGAGTCCATAGTCTCTCATGGCTCATCTCTCCCTCCAATTCCCCCTGCGCATTTTTCCCTTCCTTCTCCTAATGTCCTCCATGTTACTCCTTATGTTCCACAAATAAGTGAAACCATATGCAAATGTTTCTTAAATAAATAAATGAGTGACCCAAGAAGTCAGGGCCACTGCTGAATGATGAAGTGAGTTCTAATACCATCGACATCTCTACTAATTCCTGGTAGTAGATCACAGGACAAATGACGCAATATCACTTCCCTCCAGGTTACGACTGAGAAAAGAATGTTCAGTTCAGTGGACCGACTCCTGCTTTTCATTTATTAAAGAAACTCAAGTGGCATCAAAGACAAATTCTTATATTTTGAAAAGTTCACATACATTAATATCTTACAAACTAAGAAAAGTTCTTTCGCAGGGGAAAATACCAGGTTATTGAAAAGTCAAGCTACTCGAAGCCTTGATACAGAGCCCAGGGTGTCTAGCACAGACTCCTAGATTTGCCACTTTGGGGAGGAAAGATGCCTCACACCCTACAGCACATCTTTGCCTGTTACATCCACACGTGTTGTTGAGAAGGACTCAGCCAGAAATCTCCAAAGCGGTGCTTTTAATGTTGTATAAAAATAGTGAACTGCATCAAAGCGAGTACTTCAAGCCACCACTTTTTGAAGACACTTATGAGAGAATGGAACATCCCAGAGAATGTCTTCAAGCGTTTGACTGAAATTCTAAACAATAAAAAGAATAGAAAAAAAAATTATGAACAATTGAACAAGCAAGAGGCCATTCACAAACTGAGATACTTAAAGTATTTATTTTTGGATGTATGCATACAGTAAACACTTAGATCCAAAGGCTTTGCAGTCTAATCATGTACAAACTTTGGCTTAGATGACAATTTAGGAGATATTTGGAAGAAGATAACCATATGAACTCTTCAGGCCTCAGGGCAATCCGGCTTGAAAAAGGAAAGATTTGATCATTTTTCTGGTGGTGGAAGTCTTCAGCCTCTTTGAAACTATGGAGAATTATTTTCTAAATTTGTCTCCTTGTAGATTTATTTTTGATTATAATGTGAGTCTGCATTAAAGGCAAAACATCACCAAAGGTAAACAAATGAAGCTGAGGACAAAGGAAATGACATGACATGGTTACTCCAGAGTCAGAAAATTCAGGTATTGCTTGAGTTAGCTTACCATTTTCTGGCCAAGAAACTTACACATTTATAGCTTTGTAAAATATGACCTTAGGAATTTACCTGTGTGTTACCATCAAAAAGAAAATTTGAAATTGATTGGATGACAAAGAGAATGCTCAGAGATCTTTCCAAAGCATTGCTACATTTTAATTTCTTATTTAATCCAAATATCAGCATTATTCTTATTTATTTGGACATAACTTTATGCAGAAGTAAATTTAATTTGGGTTTTTATGGCACAATTTGTTTTTAGTATTTTTTAATTAAGGAAGACTGCATTACATTTTCTCATGAAAAAGTGGCACCTAATTTATATAATTACATTTTTTCACTTAAGGACTCAAAATAATACTGTTCAAATTAGTTGAGAATAGAAACATTCTGTATTTTCCCACAGTTTTTATACATCTGTATATATAATAAGTTTATCATAGCTTATTGCAAAATCTAAGCTCATTTCTGTTCAGGAATTTGTTTTATTATTTCTACAAAGAACAAAGTGTAAAGGTCTTTTTTACATATTGTTGAAAAGAGGTATCTGACCCAGAGGAATTTAGTGAATGATCAATTAGTGAAAATCTTCATGCCAAATATTGCATATGCTAGATACTGTGAAGCAAGATTCAGTGAAAAATGCTATTCTAATTTATATGCACCATCCCGTATACAGTGAAGCTTGGGACCACAGTTTAATGAGTCAGATGCACTCACTAAGTAACTACTGTTCCAAGCATTGCTTTACATCACCTGTTTAAGAATCTCCATGTAAATTCTCATTGTGAGCTAGGCTTTCCCTTTGCATTTGCTGAACAGATGATAGGTAGACCATCATCCAGCCATGTGCAAAAACGGGCAGACAGTAACAGAGGAAGGTCATTGTGATTGTTTCTTCCCACTTAAGCATTTTCTTATTTCTTGGTTCATTTTAGTTTAAAATCGACGCCAAGGACTCAACTCACAAGCAATCTTTTGCCTTTGCACCAGCAGACATCAGTCCTACTTCTGAGCCATACAAAGCAGCAGTGCTTAATGAAAAAATATAAAAATGAAAAAAAAGAAAAAATATAAAGAACCCATTTAAAAATATAAAGAAAACGGGTGCAAATAGTGGTGAAAAAAATCTGTTAAAGAACAGAAAGGAGAACGTGTGTGTTTTTTTAGGTACCTGACTGAAAGTACAGATGAGTCAGAGGCTAGGAGGATGATATTCATCACAGAAAAAAATGAGTTTCTTTGGCTGCGCTCAGCAGGGAAAACACAAATTACACATTTAGGTCAATCTTGAGGGACTTCTGAGATTGTTTCAGGCTTAATATTTCTCCCTCTAACTCAACATTATACTCAGTTAATCTGCCCTTGTCCAGAAGTAGAGAGAGATCTTAAACAGTCTCATTCTTTCTTACTGTGAGGAACTTTTTCCTCGGAGAATACGGCACACAAATTGTAAGATTAAACCTTTTTTGGCTTTGAAACCTAAGCTAATACAGTAAGACCTTGCAACATGTTACAGAGGAAAATAGGTAGAGTGAGATCAGGAAACGTAAATTATAGCGACTGAAAGAGCATTCACAGTCGATCCACAGGGCTTGGTGAGATGTTTCTTACTTAAGAGAACTTACCAAGAAGAATATGTCCTGCGAATTCAATGCTAGCATGGTCTAGGAAAAGAATAACAAGCTTGAGGTTGGTTAACATATTGACAATTCCAAACACCACTGGTCTTAGAAGTCATAATCAGAACTCCGCAATGTCCCAGACAACTTATCTTTCTCTGGACTTTGACCACTAGGGGCAAGTGCATTGGTTGAAAGACACAGAGTAACCACACACATCAGGGTGAACATTTTGAAATGTATACACTGTGGGAACATGCTGTTGTTCGCCTGAAACTAATATAATACTGCATGTCAATTACACTCCCACAAAAATAAACACATAAATTTTTAAAAACTCAAATAAGAAAAGGAAAGCAACAGAACAAAGAGTACTGAAAAAAATAAAGAACCAAATAAAAAATACAAAGGTAAAAATTCCCCTGGATAAGTGCTCATAAGTGATTGATACAAAAGCATTTACCATATACAGAAGGAAATACCAAGAATAAATAGCAACATTTAAAAAGAAAGTACAAGCCTCATAAGCAATCAAAAATGAAAATGGAAACAAGCTCGGAATGCTATCACATGCCCACGAAACTGGCAGAAACAAATTTAAAAGAAAGATACACGTGAGTCTTAGTACTGACCTTTGACAGTAGCCAACTGCAAGGGAAATTTTTGCTGGGCTTTGTAGCTTTTATCTGCACCAATGCTTTCCACAAATGGTGACCTTCAATGTATCAAATGTGCAGTTGCCACATAATGTCAGATGTTGGGGATTCTCAGGGCTTATAGTAGCAGGAAACAAGAATTCTGCAGAGGCTCTTGACTGTTTCATTCAACATTATAAAAGAAAAAGAAGTGAATTCTATTGTTCCATGCTTCTACTCATAAAGACAAACTTTCATTTTGCAAATGCACCAATCCCTTCACTGGTCACTCGCCGTTTATTCACCATGGATTTCCTCTAATAGTCAAATTAGAGTTTAGAGTACTGAAATGATCCACTTTCCTTCTGTTTTCTAGGCTTTCAAACCCCCTGTACCTGGCATCACTCAATAAAGGTGGACTCTCTCATGACTAGCTGCTAGCGAGGTTTCTAAATAAAGGGAGCCAGGAATTATGACCAAGTGCAGGTGGGAGACAGCCACGCACTCACAGAGTGATGTGACGTGCTTCAGGGTACTTTCAGCTCCCACGGTGATGTCTATAGCACAAGACTCTGAGCTTTTAGTCAAAAATTCAAAAACTGAATAAAGCTTAAATGGTTGCCAAATTGCTAACACATTTTTCCAAATGTAACAAAAAATGTGAATGTACTGAGTAATAGAATATCTGTGTTTGAAATCCACATATTTCTCATGCAAAATAATCACATAGGAAACTCATATTTGTAGTTGCCATGGAGAAAAATTCCAGAAAGCTTAAATAAATTATTATTTAACAAGTTGGTAGGCTTGACAGCAAGAAAGGTCAGGGTTTTTTCTTTGTCCTTTTTTTTTTCCTAAATGAAATTGAATAAAAACCAAAACCTCACATTGCGATCATATTATTAGTGGTAATAAGAGCAATAAGCATGTAAGTTGATAATACTAATAAATCACATTTAGAGCAGACTGGAATAATTCTGAGAGCTGAAAAGTCTTGACTGAGAATTTTATTCAGTGTAAGCCTTTACACAAAGATCTTGTAAGAGTAACTGTTCATAGGGTCCTATCAGAAAGATACCTGGGAGCTCCAGGAGTTTAGATAGTTGAGTTCCATTTATAAAAAGGTGAGAAAAGAATATATATGAGAACCTAATGCATACCCAAGATCCACACCCATCTTCACAAGATTACTACTGGGGATATTATGCTTTCTTAACTATGTTCGTTATGTATAGGTATAGTTGAATCTAGGAATGGCCACCCATGAGTTCTCTTAAGATGTTTTGAAATATGTATTTTAATTATATTTAAACTGGGGGGTGGGGAGTCACTTCTTTTTACAAGCTACTTCACCAACATGCCCAAGCTTATCATGTGCATTTGTTTCTGTGTTTTTTTTATGTATTTATTTATGCTGTTTTATTTTCCTATTTCATTATCCCCAATTTCATCTCAAACCAGTAACTTGAAGAGTATTTAGCTTCTCACATAGGTTGTGCAGTTAAAAGTTTGTTCTTACTGATTTCCAAGAGACAAGTGAAGTGGTTTTTAAAAATTCTCTCATTGGCATCATGGAGTTCTCTCTCTGAGCTCACAATAATTTACTCCTGCAGTTGAACCCAGGCACAGCTCTCTTAGGAGTTAAGGAGAGGGGAAAACGTTCTCTTCTTACAGAACATGAAGGACCCACGCTATGGATGTACGGAGCCTTGTGACCCCGGTGGGGCTGGGGCGGAGGTGACTGTTCATCTCACAGCCGTCCCCACATGCGGAAGGGTGCATCAAGCACAGTGACTATGCAGCCATCAAAAGGAATGAGATCTTGCCATTTGCAACAACGTGGATGGACCTGGAGGGTGTTATGCTGAGGGAAATAAGTCAATCAGAGAAAGACATGTAGCATATGATCTCACTGATATGAGGAATTCTTAATCTTCTGAGTTTTAAAGCATTAGTAAAATAAGCCAACAGATTGGGGAGTATTGGAGTACTGGGGAAAAAAAAAAGCCAATACATTAAATTTATAAAATATAAACTAAAATATTTAAACTGTGACATTGAACACATACCGGACAACAGCAGTAATTATTGGAGTCCACAGTCCATCCGATGGTAACATGAAAGAGTTGATAGAAAACATGTCTCAATATAAAATCATGTACTCAGTAAATTCAAGCAAAATAAAGGCATCTTTTAAACAAAGGAAACATCCAGGCCGTACATTTTTTCTGTAGGAATTTCTAAAGGATGAATTTTGAGGAAATTGAATAAAGATAGAAGAGTAAGAATATGAGAAATGAAAATAATCAAATAAACAAAGACCTTTTTTCCCCAATAAGTCCAAGTAGCCATTATCTTGGAAAAAAAACACAATAATAACATGAAGTTGTTTCCCAATTTTTTTTTAAAATGAAAATAAAATACTACACAACAGTGACACCCAGAATGGGGAGGTTGTTCAGAATGACATCTTCCTATGTGCCTCTCACCAATTATCAGTTAGGGGGAGATTTGCTATATTTATTTATTATATTGATTAACTTTAGACATAGTTACATGAGTATTTTAATCATTTAAGATTACCTAAAATATAAATAATTTATAGTTTCAAACTTGTGTCTGGAAAAAATAAATAGATGGATAAATATATGACAGATAGATGATAGATGATAGATAGATAGATAGATAGATAGATAGATAGATGATAGATAGATGATAGATAAATGGATCCTACAGATAAAAAGCAGAGGAAGACGGCAAAACGGTAAGAAATAGAGTATACCTAAGACAGTGGAAGAACATATCAGTGTGACTGAAAATGTGGGATCTCTGCCCACAGTCTCACAGATCCTTTCATGACTTTTGCCCTGCCACCAACAGCCCACACCCCTGCCTCTCCCACTCAGAGCCACCCTTGTGCAGAGACCAGGATGTTCTTGTGGGTGACCTCCATCTCATCCTCCTGTCAGTAACAGGCAGCACTTTACCAGTGAAGAATAGACATGTGATTATACAGTGATCTAGCTTTGGGCTCCCGATTGGACAGCTCTGAGCTCAGTTTCTCTGCTCTCCATATGTCCCTGAAAAAACTGAGCTAAACTGACCTTCCATCCAGCTCATCCCCAATCCTGTTCGGCCTCCTGCCCCTCCAGGGGCTGCTACTGAGCATCCAACCTAAGACAGTTAGTGAGAACAATACATGTAATGGGTTGCATTTCCTGTTAAAACATGGGGACTTCCCATTAAACCAAAAAATCAAAAATAGATAAAATGAACAAAAACACAATCCCTCCCAAAGCCCTAATCTCATTATCAGGCAAGTAGTGACCAAACAGAAGTTGGTGAATCTATGCTAGACAAAACAGACTTGTAAGCAACAGAGCCGGACATCATTACATCATGATAAAAATTTCATTCCAGGTAAAAGATACAGCTTTCCCTGGATCTGTATGTACCTAACAGAAACTATAAAAAGCAGAACAGTAAAAAAGTTACAAGAAATGGATAAATTCACAATCATAGTGTAGATTTTAACATAACCTCCTCAGAAACTGATACACTGAATGAACTGACAAAATATAGAATTTCTGAGTAACATATCGAACATTTATGTCATAATGGAATATAGAATGTTCTGTACTCAATCCTTAGAGAACAATCTTGTTTTTATAGTAAGCGTAAAGAATGTAAGCAAATGAATGCAGTGTAGCTTGTGAAAACTATCTGGATTATCAAGATATCTATAATCTACCCACCATATTCCCCGACCTTGAGCCTTTGAAATAATTACAAATCAATACCTAAATAATAACCAAAACATCTTATATTTTGTTAATATGAAAAAGTTTCTAAATTTTATTTTTTTTATCAAAGACCAGCTGATAATGTAATAGTGAAAGTTGAAAATGGTTATTTCTACTACAATTTAGTTGATGTAAATATTACGATTCCTGGTCATAGCCAAAGTAGTCGACAGTTAGAAGCACGCTTCAATGTTTTGCTCACGGACATATTGCTAAGGAAACACCCACCCCAGAAAATGAAGTCTGATCTGATGTGAGAAACTATTCCTTTCAATGCCATTGTAAGTCATAAAATGACTTTATTTTATCTAATGAAGTTCATTCTTGGAACTGTGTATGTCTGTGTGGAATATCCTGGGATTCGGTCTAGCCGACATGTGCCGGCCTAAAATAACCTAACTCCTCTCACCGTTGAGTTCCTAGGAGCTTGTGTTCATGTTTGCCTTGCAGAAGGGTAAGTGCTAGGGATGGATATTGGGTTGCTTTATGTTTACACATGTGAAAAATAGCAGTCATCATCCCAAATAAGCCATATAGCTTGTAAATTCCTTATTACATACAAATATGACTGATTTTGTGTGAATGTGTTTAGATTTCAGATGTCAAAGATGTTTCGCAGGATCCACACACTTCTACACTTACTTCCATGGCAACTTCACCCTTTCTGTTGGCTTTAAATGTGCCTCTACACCCAGGACACCCAACTGCTGCCCGCTGGGATCTGCCCCTGAACTCCAGACAGCCCAGTGCCCACTCCTCACTCCCGTTCTGATGTCTGACAGACATCTCATTCAAAATGTGCAAGACCAAAACTGAGCTTCCCAGTCCCCGCCCCACTCCCCGGGCCCAGACCTATTTTGTGGCCCTTCCTTCAGCAGAGGACACTCCTGACTCTGAGGCTGCTCACACCAGAAAGCTGGATGGCATCCCCACCCCTCTTTCCTTACACCGCACAACCAGGAGGTGAAGGAGCCCCTTCGACTCAACCACCCATTATCCCCAGAATCTGACCCCTTGTCACCACCCGGAGCTCTCACCCACGTGGGACACAGGCGTGGGCCACAACCACCTGCATCTGGGTGTCTGCAGCAGCTCCCAAATGGCCTTCCTGCTTCTCTGCTGGACCCTTCGCAGACAAAGCTCTGCATGTCGCTCCATGGACATTGAAGTCCTTGCGCTGGCCGGTCCGGGTGCCTCCAACATGCCCTCAGTGCAGCCTAGCACTCAGATTTCCCTCCTACGGCTTTCCTTCATGCAGTCAG